TCGGGAAAGTGCGTCTTCCGCGGCTTCGGCCGCTCCTTGATGCAGTCGAGCAGCCAGCGAAAGGCGAACTTCTCCGACTCCCAGGCGGACAGGGGAAACGGGACCTGGTAGGTGGCGCCGCCCCGCTTCACCGGCCTGGTCACCAGCAGGGGCCGTATGTTGTGGAGGGCGCCGTGAAAGATGGCCAGCGGGTCGCATTCCACCTCCTCTCCTTCACCATCTTTGCTGGAGTTTAACTTGGCGAGCTGCGTTCGCTTGATGATGGCAAAGGTGTCGCGCATCAGCTCACGCATCAGCGCCTTCTCTCCCTTGCGCGTGCCCTCGTTGATGAACTTGGAGAGGGTGCGGTCGAAGAAGACGGAACAGGGGTGGTAGGCCCGGGCCGCTTCCACCGGCTCGAAGGGCAGATTTGGGTCCACCTCCATTTGGGCTGCCGTCTGGAAGGGGCCGGCCACCAGTTTGGTGGAGGAGCCGGGCGCACCGGGCATGTCATCCATTGAGCTGCTGCTGCTGGTGGGGGTGATGGAGAGTGAGGACTTTTTAGCTGAAGACGTTGAAGCGGTTGATGTGCTGGAGAATCGAGGGGAAAAGGAGGAGAAGGTGATCATCGCCAGACGAGCCATTCTGGTGGAAGAGCCAGCAGCCAGGAGAGCCTGGCGAAAGGCGGCGGTGGTGAGGAAGACCATCGCAAAGAAAATGTTGTTCACAAGTTCAGAAGAACTAGATGATGTCGGACCGAGAAACAAAAAGAATCCAACAAGAGAGAGAATCCTTTGCAGAGCAAGTCTGTTTTGAAATCAGCTGAACTGAAGGGAAAAGAAAACATGCGGCCAACAAAAAATGATGCCAAACAGAGGCCAGGGCGACATCTGGTGGCGCCTGGCGGTAGGCAGGATGCCAAGCAGAGAAAGGCCACATCGAGCAGCAGCAGAAGCAGCCACAGAAGCAGCAGCAGCAAGTTTTGTATCCTCGTNAGACTCCACCCCTTAGCACCACATGCGAGATGGCTCGTGCGCTCTACTCGTGAGTCTTTCTGTTGACAACTTCCTCCTCTTCTTCTTTTTTGGCGTTCCGTCCTATCTTCCCGTTTTCGCCGGACGTTCCAATCGCCTAGATCTCACTTTAGAATCCCCCCCCCCGTTTTCCCCGCTTCCCTTTCCCGTCTTTCACACCGACACCACCAGCACAGTGTTGTTGCACTACCACCATCACCTTCTTCAGTTCAAATACCGCCACGGCATCATGCTCATCACAAATAGCGACACGGTAAGCAGTGAAAAAGGAATCCTTCCTTTTAGAAACACCCGATTCTAACTTCCATTTCTTCACCACCACCACCACCACCACCACCAGTTCCTCAGCGAGATGAGCAAGCTCTTCGCGGCGAACCAGAGCAGCGGCGGCTCCCTCTACATTACCATGAAGCGGGTGGACGTCTCTAAGAAGAAGCCCACACCGCGGCCCATCAGCCGCCTGCCACCGCCCAAAGGCGTCAAGTCGAAGAAGGCAGTGGCGGCGGCGATGGCCGCAGCGGTAGCAGCCCGGGAGAAGGCCGACGCCGAGGCGGCGGCCCGCCCCTCCGAGCACATGTGCCTGATTCGGGTGCACAACGCCTCGCGGAAGATCAGCACCATGGTCTCGCCGAAGGACGTCAACAAGTTCCAGCAGGTAGGCAGCTTTGAATTCCTGCAATTTCGAACCCATTTTCTAATTCTCTCCTAACCCTAGGCCTACTCCAACCTCCTCCGTGGCAACCTCTACGGCCTGAAGAAGAAGGAGAAGAAGAAGGGCCCGGCGAATAAAAAGTCCAAGGCGACGCACGGCTGATCGATCAACCCTAGGATTCGATTTCAAGCACAACCACCACCACAACAACGAGGACTCCTCTCTTGAGCGCACTCTTCTCTTCCAATTGCCCCACATAAACCACCTCAAGAGCTCTCTCACACACTTCCAGACACACCTCCTCCTCCTTCTCTTTCAGGAAACGTTGAAGCGTTCAAATATTATGTGAATATATATTATATTTTTTGTTTTTTCCAATACAGCAGTACCTTCCTCACCTCGGTATCAAGAGAATCGACAACTCAAATCCTTTCCCTTCCCTCCCTTCTCAAGTTTCCTTGGTGTAGTAGACGCGGTAGTAGAGCGTCTTGCTGCGCCACAGCGAGTAGCTGTTGTCGAACTTGAGCAGGTACACGCCTCGACCTGGGTACGAATGGCTGCCCGCAAAGACCTCCTCGTGGGCGTCACGCCTGTAGATGGGAATGATGACGCTGACGGGCGGCGGCTGAGGGGGCTGTTGCTGCGGGTCATTCGGGTCGCCTGGGCCCAGTAGTTTGCTGCTATTGTTGGGAGGAATCTTCATCTCCAGGTTGGCCTCCTCGTCGCCGCCTCCGCCGATCAGATTGCCGCCGCCCTTTTCCACGTCATTGGGCGAGCCTTCAACTTCTGGAACAATGGGAGAACGGTTTGGGTAGAATTAGAAATTAGAAACTGAAGCCTCGATGACGCAATTTCGAACTGAAAACACTTACCCTCCTCGTCCTCCTCGTCCTCACTCTCGCTGATGTGAATTGATACCTGGTGGTCGGGCGTGGCGTTCCACTCAAAGAGGAGGCCAAAGCCAATGTCGTAGCTGTCGGTGGCGAACTCCCAGAAGATGCAGTTGCCATTCTCGTGCGTCGGCACGCGAATGGTGGCAATCTCGCCGTGGCCCACCTTGAGGATGCCGTCGCCGCCCTCCGCGCGGATCGTCTCCTTGAACGTGGCAATGTCCTTGCGCGTCCACATCGAGGCGTTGCTGATCACTGAGCGGCCACCGGGGCCTCCTCCGCCGGTGCTGTTGCTGGTGTCGCCCTCCTCCTCCTCCTCCTCATCCGATACCTCATCTTCTTCATCTTCAAAGCTGTGGGTGTTCGGGTTCGAGAGCGATGGATTACTTGCATCCAAGGTGATGGTCGCGGCTTCTGAAGTGGCCGCCGAGGATGTCTTCACGGGCGACCCATCGACCATGGTGATGGCCACCGTGGAGGTTTCCACTTCCTGTTGATGATTGTTGCTCTGTTGATTGCCACTGTTGTTGTTGATTGCACCACTACCACCCCCGGCCGCCAGCATGGTCCCATCGAGGAGGTCCGCCGACTGCTCCATCATTTGTTGCATGTACTGCTGAAAGTGCTGCTCCTGCAGCTGACTAATGAGCGCCTGCTGAAGCTCGGTCGAGTCCGGGTACTGCTGGCGGGCGTACGTGCTGAACTGGTGGATCGTCTGGCGGTTGAGAATCTCCTGGATGGTGCGTCTGTGTGGGAGAGAGTGTAGTGAGAGTGAAGGAGGGATGCAAAGGAATAAAAAAAAGTGAGTAAGTAGAGTCAGAGAAAAGAAGAAAAAACGGCAAGCGGAAAGCGGCGGCGGCGAGCAACAAACAAACAAAGCAGTCGCTCACTATATAACCACTACCACCAGCAGCAGCAGCCAGTACTCGATCGGAAGAAAAATGGCTCGGTGGTGGAATCTCTCAAATATCTCTCTCTTTTTGGAACACGGCTAAATAGAACTGCTGCTGCTGCTGCTGCTGCTGCTGCATCAACCCAAAACCCCAATAGATGGCACATTGTGTGTATCGGTTTTAGTGGTGGTGAATCACGCTTTGGCGGCGTCATCAAAACACGCTAACATCGATGACAGGTGATAAGAAAGAAGGGAAGGAAAGGAGCGCATTTAGAACAGCCACTTACTTTTGCTCCTCGTACTTGCGCTGCTTCTCCAGCTCGGCGGCGGCCGCCGCCTCCTCTGCTCGTCGCCTTTCCCCCTCCTCTGCCTCCTGCTTGGCCCGGGCCTCGGCCTCTTCCGCTTCTCGGCGCTTCCGCTCCTTGTCATCGAGGTCGCAGCGGACGGCGGCGACGTAGGGACGGAAGATGGGACAGAGCGAGTGGAGGAGGGCGATGAAGGCCTGCTGCGCCTCCGCCTGAGAGAGGTCGCCCAGGGCCGTCCATGCGGTTCTAAATGGCGGTGAAAATGATTGTTTGCTTTAGAAATGAAGGCTTTTGTTGGTGATAAAGATCTATAAAATGTGGTACCTCCGATCGTGGCCGACAAAGTCCAGAGCGCCCAGCGGCCGGGCCTTCTCCGGGTTGAACTTGCCGTGCTTCTCCTGAAGACTGTAGGCGACGAAGGCATTTCGCTGGTCGTAAGAGGGGTGAAAGGCTTTGCTTTCGTTTTCTAAAAATCATTGAAAAGATGTAATGATGTGGTAAATTAGATCAAAGGCCACACACAAACACACACACACCTTTAAAAAAGTTGAAGGCAATACGGTAGAGTTGAGGCGTCTCAAAGGGCCAGCTTTCCTGCTGGTCCTGTTGATCTGATGATGTTACCAACGCATCTTCTCGGTGGCCATTCAGTGGTTTCGGAGGAGGAGGAGGAGGAGGGTGATCCTCCGACGACTTCACCGTCACCTTCTGCTGATCACCACCACCACCACCACCATCATTGATCAGGGCGGTGGCGGCAGAGGCGTTGCTCAGCTGCTCCTCAGGTGAGCTCCGCTTTCCCTGCTCGACCATCGAGAGGCAGTGGACGCGAGGGTGAAGGAAGAAGGCAAGGAAGGAAGGCTGAAGAACTGCTGAAGAGGGTGATGATAACGATGATGATGGCGATGGTGATAAAGAAGAGAAGGTGGTGATGAAGAGAGCTGAGGATAGTGAGCTGAGGGAATGGCACCAGTACCAGCAGCAGCAGCTCCGAGCTCTGGTGACGTGCAAATCAACACAAATAAAAAGTGCTAACAGTGACGCTCGTTTTCGCTGTCTGTGTCTGTTTCTATTTCACTGTGTTGTGTTGTGGCAGCAGCAGCAGAAGCGGCTTCCACGTAGAACACACACTGCAGACAGGCACAGCGGCGGCTTACGGTGACGGCGGCGCCCACTCTTTGACGACGCCGGTAAAAAAAGAGAACTAAAATAGAAATGAACAAAAAGAACAAACTGATAACGGTTTCCAGCAGCAGCAACAGCTTTAATCGGTTTTAATGACTGGTCTTAATGATCGATGGTGTGTACAGAATCGTGTGGATCACTCAATTTTTTGTGTGTGTGTGTTTAGGAGTTTTTTTTCAGGAGGAGTGGTTGGAAAGATAGAGAAAGCATTTTGTTTTTCAAAAAGATAGAATCAACAGCAAAGGTTGGGGAATAGGGATTTAACAGTCAGGGGGAAGAAACAACAGTAGAATTGTGAGGGGAGAGCGTTTTTGTTTGTTTGCTTTTGTTGCTGCCTTCTTTCTGGTGGTGGTTGTGGTTCACTACTTGGTCAGTGGTGGTGTGTGGGCGTGTGTGGTCGTAATGAGAGAGAAAGAAAGAGGATAAAAAGAATAAATAGAGAAGATCATTTAAAATATCAGGAGAGGGAACAAAATCCGAGGAAGAGGAGAAAACGCATAGGGGAAGCTTCAACTCCACATCGTCATCGGGCAAGCAGAATATTCAGCAGTACTTCCACCTCTTTCGCCTCCTCACCGGAGGTCAAAAGGAGAAAAAGGACACAGCAGCACATCAGCTGGTCTCAGTGTATGTACAGAAAAAAAAGAGAAAGAAAAGGTCTGGTCGTGAGGGGCAAAAATCGATGATTGAAAGAGGAGGAGGTGAAAGAGAGGTTTCCGTTTGTGTGAAAGAAGAAAAAAAGACGAAGAACTTGTGCAGTCTTGATGAGAGGACACTCCCCCTCCCCCTCTACTGAAACTCATCATCGGAGCTGAGCAGCGTCGTCTTCTCCGAGTAGTTCTGGCTGATGGTGGTGATTTGGCGAGCTGCCTGCTCCGAGGAGGAGGAGGAGGAGTTGATGCTTTGGTTCGCCGCAGAGAGCGCAGAGGGGGCGACACCGGCAGCGGCTGCTGCAGACCCCGCCGTGGCCGTCCTCGTGGACGAAGTGGGGCCCCCGCCAGAGGTTCCGCCCACCACGGCGCTGTGGTCGCTGAGTGCGGCGCTGTTGTAGCTGCCGCCGCTGCCGCCGTTGGTGCCGTGGTCGGCGCTGCTGAGAATGGGCGACTTGGAGGTGGCCGATGAGTGGTGGTGGTGGCCAGCGCCACTTCCACTGTTTCCCCCACTTCCACTACCCCCGCCCATTCCGTTGGGTGACTTGGCGGACTGCGTGTACTGCGTGTACTGCTGGTAGTTCGGGTGGAAGTTGTGAATGGCGTCGTTCATGATGTCGCGCGGGTTCATCGTCTCCTTCAGGCTGCTGCTGATGCTCTGCATCGTCACCGAGCGGCCGCCGTGGCTGTCCGCGGTGTAGTTGCTCTCGTAGATCTGGGGAAATGGAAGGAAAGAATTAGATGATTCCTGGTTTAAAACAGAACAATTGCCCTTACCTGGTAGGGAAAGGCGTACCGCAGCGCCAGCGACGCAAAGAACATCTCAATGCAGATGAGAAAGTTCTGGTAGCCGGCGGAGACGGTGCCCGCACTGGCTCGCTCGCCGTCCCAGGTGAACACTGTGGTAAAGACAGAGAAAAGAAGAGGAAGTTAAAACATCACCAGATAAATCTCTCCTTCCACCAAAAAACTTACCCGGCGAGATGAGATCGGCGTGCTCAAAGACGGCGAGAATGACGCCCTGCCAGAAGGAGAGAAAGATGACCGACTTGACGGTGAAGAACTTCCAGACGGGGTCGTAGGGCGAGAGGAGGTCCCGGGTGGCGTAGTAGAAGAGGACCAGACCGTAGAGGGCCAGCGAGACGCTGATGTTGTAGACGGCGATGATGTAGAGGTAGCCGGAGTCGGCGCTCCAGTCGCCGTCGCGGTACTTCCCGAAGGCCTGCAGCACCAGCGTCGCGAAGGACATGATCGGCTTCACGGCGCAGAACTGCAGCGTCGCCTGCTTGCAGAAGCGGAGAAAGCCGATGGAGTAGGTCCGCCCCTGCAGGCAGCAGGTGCCGTAGTACCAGCTGGAGCGAATCGGCTTGCCGCGAATCTCCGACATGATGTTGCCCTCGCCGCCCAGGTACTCGTAGCAGAGGCTGAGGAAGTTGTAGATGACGAAAGCTAGAGGATAGGGTTTTAAGGGTTTGATTAGTCTGAAAAGATCACAAAGGGCTTCTCAAGAGACACTCACCCTCATACCAGTCCCGGACGCTGTCGAAGTAGACGTAGTAGTTGTCGCGAAAGAAGAGCAGACTGAGCCAGGAGTCGAAGCCGTAGATGGGGACGATGAAGAGGATGCGGACGATCCAGCGCTGCTCAGCGGGCAGTGTGTAGTACTTCAGGTGCTTGTAGATCTGGAAAAAGGGGAGAAAAGGAGAGAGAGTGTGATAATTAATAAATTGAAGCGATGAATCAGCAGCGGTGATTGCAGTGCCTGTGATGCAATCATCATCCCTTTCCCTTACCTGATGCCCGGTAATGAAGAGTGCCATCCAGGTGAAGGCCCCGGCGATGACCTTTGCGCTGTTCGACTGCAGGAAGATGCCCGGGTGCTCCACCAGTTGGGTGATGTTGCTGGCCAGCACCGGCCCGGTCACCTGGGCAATGGAGGAGCTGAGCACAGAGGCGGATTCATTGGCGGCCATGGTCGGCTGCTGATGCTGCTGCTGGTGATGATGATCGTGATCGCAGTGATAGTGATGAAAGTGATAGTGGTGATCGTGTCAGCTGCTGAACAAGATTTAGTGGCTTCTGATGCTGCTGTCGTATACAGCTGCTGCTGCCGTACACGGTTCAGTGTTCAGACTCGTAGACGTAATCGAGCTGAGAGTGAGCTGCGAGTTGATGAGTCTGTGTGTGTTGTGTGTGTGTGGTAGTCGATGAGTGGTGAAAGTGAGTGTGTTGGCTTGGCCTGCCTGAGTGCTTCGATAACAGGCAGATATTATCAGAGTGCAATCATAATAACCAGCAGGAGAGAGAGGGAGAGAGGAGGGCAATAAAATATCTGATGGTGGCGGTGGTGAACAACAGCAACAGTGGAAAATTAGTAGCAGCGGTGGCGAGAGCGGATGGGCTAATAACGCACGGATGCTTTGGCTGATTGAATCAAGTGTACGATGATGGTGATGGCGGTGATGGTGGTGATGGTAGTGGCCCAAAGGGAACAGGGAAACCAGCAAAAGTAGAGCTTGCTGGCTTGTGTGTGTGTGTGTGTTGTAGAGTTGCTGTGTAGATGACTAGAGTTGGTGGGCGCTGGTGGTGGAGAGGTTTTCAAACGATGATGTGGTCCACTCTGTGGGCTGCCTCTACTCAAAGCTGTTCCAGCGGAACCATCGAGGAGCCATATGTTGGGCGCTGCTGCTGGTGCTGGTGAAACCAATGAAGCTGGCTCGACGCTGGCCAGCTAGCTTCTAATTGGCTGCTTTGCTTTGCTTTGCCAGCGCAGAGTTAGTGTGTCCACCGCCGCCGCCGCGTCTCGAGCTGCAACGAGAGAAGAAGAAAGAGAGGAGAGGAGAGGAGCCACAGAGGAGCCTTCAGACTTCTCTACCGCAACTGCAACTGCTGCTTCGCTGCCGTTGCTGTCTTGCTGGCGTGATCCACCACCACCGCCGTCGCCGTCGATTGTCACTGCGCACTCTAACAAAGTTGCTGCTCACCACCGCCGCCAGCAACAGCACAGAATGGGAGCGGAGGACGATGACGAAGATAGAAGAGAAGAAGAAGTAGAACAAGGCAAGAGAGAATGAGTGTGTGTGCGGTGTTGTTCCTGGAACCAATTGCGAGCTGAGTTGTACCGAAAGAGAGAGAGAGAATTGGTATTTAGAAGCTGGTGCTGCTATGTTGTTGCGCTCTCTTCTCTTTAGTGCTTGCACCAGAGATGACGTCGAAGGAGTTGAGGGCTCTATTTAGGATCAGAAGAAGAAGGGGGTCCAGACGCGGAAAAGGTCGCCGGTTCAGGATGTTGTGGTTTAGAAGGAGGCAATTCGCAGGATAAAAAATAGAAACACTTGCTAAAGATTCTGGGACGATTTTTTTTCGTTTTTTGTTTTTCTGTTAGACCAACAAAAACAGTCACACGAAAGGGCCTTTCAAAAAGTACGAATCCTTAAAATTCCGGTCTAGAAAATCACAACTTTGATAAATTCTGGTGCCAAGTTCTCAATCCTTCTTTAGCTGCTACTGATCATCCATCATCCAGCTACCAAACAAGAAAGCTCTCAGCTGAAGCCAGAGGACAACTCCTCGAAAAGGACATCTCTCCGAAGCCTGCCTCGAAGGCCAGCCTTCGCCGCGCGTGAGTCCACCGCAGAGTGCGAAAGAAGAGTCATCAACAAACAATTTGAAGCTGGTACAGCACTACTACCACTACTCATCCTTTGGTTGTTGTTGTAGCCGTCGTCGTCGTCGTCGTTGCTCACTCCTGGTGATCACGAGATCATCACCTCCTTATCAGATACCAAAGCAAATCAGAAGAGACACCTCTTCCAATTCTTCCTGGTTGTGGGATACCCTTGGCAAATAGAACCCAAACACTCTCATCGCCAGTAGGTCTACTCTTAGGATTGCATCATCATCATCACCAATACCAATACCTTCTCTTCACCCTCTTGCCCTTATCACCCCATCACCACCCCATCATCAGCTGCCATGTATTGCCTTCAATGGCTGCTGCCGGTGCTGCTCATCTCGAAGCCCTCCAGTCCGCTGCACCTGCAGAACCAGGTGGTCTTCGCCGCCCTTTACCTGGTGGGAGCGGTCCTGGAGCGGAAGCCCTGTCTGATCTGCCTTCTCCTCTTCCTCCTCACCACGACCATCCTCTGCGTGCCCGGCCTGGAGATGGCCTCCCTCTACCGCCTGCTCAGCCTTGACTACTCAGTTTCACCCTCCTCAACGACCTTCACCTCCTCCTCCTCCTTGAATGTCTGCTCATAACCTCCTGCTTCAACAAAGTCTATCTATTATCCTCGATGTCAAGCACATTCCCTCCCTCCCCCTCTCACTCATTTGCCTGTGATGTAACACACTTCAACACAACACTGTAAATATCAACCCAAACTCGAGACATTAAAAGACCTTTATTACTTTTATACATTCACCAAAACACACAAGCACATACTGATCGGCTGAAGAGGAAAAAAAATTTAGAACCTCTGAAAAAGGTGATGGACGCTTTTTGGCTGGAATTGCTGAAAACCTCCTTATTCGTACTCCATCTTGAAGTTGAAGTAACTGTCATCAAAGGCCTGCAGGCGGATGAAACCGTCCTCGGCGCCGGTCGCATAGCTGCGTCCATCAGGGTGGAAGGCGAGCGACTGAATGGGACCGAAGTGGCCCTTGACGCGGCCAAACTCCTCCTCGAAGATGAGGTGGAAGAAGCGGCTCTCGAACTTGCCCGACTGCGCGTCGGTGGTCGTTACCTCCATCGCCTCCTGACCACCGCCGATGACGACGTGGTCGAAGATGGGCGAGATGGCCGCCGAGTTCACCGGGCGGTCGGTGACGAAGGTCTTCAGGTGCTGGAGGGTGTAGGCGTCGAAGAGCTGAAGTGAAGAAGAGAAAGAGAAAGGAAAGAGGTTTTAGAACACCAAACGTTTCCCCAGCAGGAGTTCTATCTCCTATTACCTTTGCAGTGTTATCCTTCGACGCGGTAATGAACATCGTCTGGTCCTTGTTGTACTGCATGTCATTGATCTGCCCCTTGTGGACCTTGTTCTCCAGCATCGGCTCCACGGCGGTGCCGCTCTCCAGCGAGGAGCCACTCCGCAGGTCCCAGCGGGCGACATTGCCCGACTCATGGCCGGTGATCACGGACTCATCGAGGGCGCCCCACAGCGAGCTGAGCACCTTCGTCTGGTCGGCGTTCAGCTGGACCTTGAAGAGGGCCGACTCGCCGGACAGGTGCTCCCCTGTGGCCAGGTCGATGACGTTGATCTCCGGCTGGCGTTTCATCATCGAGTCGGTGGTGTAGAGGACCCACTTGCCCGAGTAGGAGAAGGCGGCGGAGCGGACGCTGGTGGGCGTGGGCACCACGTGCAGGCACTTGCCCGTCTCGCAGTCCCAGATGCGCAGGGTCTGGTCGGCGCTGCCGGAGACGACGCGGGTGGTGTCCCCTGGAGAAAATAGAAGGCGGCGAAATTAGAAATTTGGAAGCCGGGGATGCCTTCTGGCAACATGGTAAACAAAAGCAGGTGATATCACCACTCACAGTTGCAGTCGAGCGTCCAGACGGCACCGGTGTGGCCGTCGAAGGTGCCCAGGCGTTCGCCATTGACGGACCACCACACCGAGGGGACGTTGTCCTTGGAGGCGCTGAAGAGCAGGTCGCCGTCGCTGTTGTAGCAGATCTTGGTGATGGAACGCTCGTGGCCGTGCAGGGCGATCGGTTTCTGGTGGTGAGTAAAGAAGAAGAGTGGTAAGCACTAAACAGATCATCAAAACACTCGCTCAAAACTTACCATCTTGAAGTTTCGGTCTTCTGGAGCTGGTCTTGGTAGAAATCTGCAGTTGTTGTTTGTGTGTTGTGTCAAATTTCTTCGCAAGAATCGGCAAATGGTTTTCTGTCCACTGAAGAAAAAGCCGACGCTGCTGTTCTGGCGTGGACACTCTTCCCGTCCGGAGAGGACGTACTGGAAGTGGAAAGAGCAATGTGTGTGTGGCAGCAGCAGCAGCAGCAGCAGCAGCAGCAGCAGCAGCTGTGGAGAGAGAAAGTGGGCGGAGCGACTGAGTAGAGAGCAGCTGAAGTAGAAATCTCGCTCACTGTTTTTGCGTCTCTCGGATTGCGCCTTCTTCCATTGTTTACCGGCGGCGGATTCTCTCTCACTCCCTCGGATGCTGTGATCCACATCGGATCGGGACGGATCACCTTTGGGATCATCGGTATCATCATCGGTATCATCACTATCATCATCTTCATCAGCAGCGGCAGAGGCAACCGAGGCACCCCAACCCTTTCCCAACTGTCTGTTTTCCCTTTTTGCCTCCAATTTTTATTTTATATTTCAGTTCAGTGACCTGACAATCCCCCTTTTGTTTGTTCTCTATTTTGTTTTTATTCTCCTACTCCTACACTGCTTTTATCGTCACCATCATCACCACCACCACCACCACCATCATCATTATCATCGTCTCAGTTTACCTCGCTCACCTCAAGAGCAGCAGCACCAGCAGCCAAGCCGCTAAATAGAAATAGAAACGATGCCACGCTACGACGACCTGAGCCCACGCGGCCACTCGCCGATGGAGCGCGGCCTTCGCATTAACGACCGCCGCCTGAGGTCGCCGATGATGGACCGCCTGCCACCAGGACGGGGAAGTGGCGGTAGTCGGGNCCACCCCTTCCACCGCCGCCACTTCGAAGCATGAGCTCGCGAGAGCCGATGCCCTTCTCCTATCACCACGACGATGGCGGCGGCGGCGGCTACAATCGGTCCTCCTCGGGATCCTACCACTCTTCTCGAAACAGCATGGGCCAAGACCGAGGAGGAGGAGGTGGCGGTGGCGGCCTCTACCAGATCCTCTGCGTCTCGAACATCAGCAGCAAGTACCCCGACTCGACGGTTCGAAATGAGCTGATGAAGGAGTTCAGCCGTTTCGGCGAGCCCTCGGTGAAGCTGGTGTACGACAAGAACACCCGCCTCGCCTACATCTACTTCAACAACTACGACGACGCGAGGGAGGCCCGGTACGCCAAGTCGCGGCTGATCCTCCTCGACAAGCAGATCGTCCTCGATCCCATCTACGAGCGCATGTCTTCCTCCTCCTCTTCGGGCGGTGTGCCCTCCTCCCGGAAGCGCTCTCTGACGCCCGAGTATCCGCCGATGCGAGGAGGCGGCGGCGGCTTTCGGCACCTCTCTCCGCCGCCACCAATGTCTTCCTCGTCGAGGCGGGCGCCTCCGCCCCCTCCACCGCCCTCCTCAAATCGAAGCTCCTCGTTCAATCACGACCGCTATCAACTGGTAATTTTTTTGTTGTTGTTTACCTTTTATCATATTCACTTTTCATAACACATTCCCCCCTCTTTCAGCATCCAAGAGACTCCTATCGGGAGCACAGTGGCCACTACCAAAGCGGAGGAGGTGGTGGCAGTCACCACTACAGCGGCAATCACCACCATCAGCTCAGTTCCCGAAGCAGTGGCGGAGAGCACGGCTCCTATCACCTTCATTCAGGAGGAAGCTCAGCGGGCAACTACAGCCTGCGAAACAGCAGCGGCAGTGGCGGTGGAGGTAGCAGCCATCACAGCCACCACCACAGCCAGCCCTCGCTGTCCTCCTCCTCGGGAAACCACAACAACTCTTCCCAGCTCTCCTCCTCCTCCTCGCCGGGCTCGGCAGGCCAGGGCGGTCAGAGCCAGCTGACCCAGCAGCAACGGGAGTCGAAGAAGGAGAAGTTCCCCAACTACCTCCACCACATTCCGCCGGAGGAGGACGACAAGGCGACGCGAACGCTCTTTGTGGGCAACCTCGAGACGACCATAGCGGAGCCCGACCTGCGCCGGATCTTTGAGCGCTACGGCGTCGTCGAGGACGTGGACGTGAAGCGGCCGCCGCCCGGCCAGGGCAACGCCTACGCCTTCATCAAGTTCCTCAACCTCGACATGGCGCACCGGGCGAAGGTGGAGATGAGCGGGCAGTACATTGGCAAGTTCCAGTGCAAGATCGGCTACGGGAAGGCGACGCCGACCACCCGCATCTGGGTGGGCGGCCTGGGCGCCTGGACCAGCTACTCGCAGCTGGACAAGGAGTTTGACCGCTTTGGGGCGATTCGAAAGATCGACTACGTGAAGAATGACGGGCACGCGTACATTCAGTACGACACGATTGACGCGGCGCAGGCCGCCTGCTCCGCCATGAGGGGCTTTCCCCTGGGAGGGGCGGACAAGCGGCTCAGGGTGGACTATGCCGACGTGGCGGTGGCGGCGGTTTCTACTACTGCTGGAAGTGCTGCAGGAGCTTCGCCTTCGAGGGCTGAAGGAGGTGGGTCACCGACGTCTGCTGGAGGGGCGGCAGCAGCAGCAGCGAACAACNTAGGTGAGTTCTGGCGTGGAGAAGGAGGTGAGCGCTGGACTAAAGGCTACCCAGGCTCGCCTAAACGCCGGCGCACCGAGGCACCTAACTCACAGCTCGAAGAGGGCGAAGAGCCGCCAGAAACTGCAAACGGAAGCTCAGCAGCGGCAGACTTTGGCGGCGGCGGCGGCAGCAGCTCTCCGAACTCGCAGCTCGACAAACTCCTCCTCTCCAACGGAAAGATGGAGGTGACCATCAGCGAGGGCGTGAGCAGCATCGCCGAGCTGATCAAGTGCTGTCCGGACGTGTGGCTGGGCGGGCTGGCGCTGAAGACGAGCGCCTGCAGCACCCGGCTCTACTTCTGCCACGGCGACGCCTCGCTGCTGGCGAGGCTGCGCGAGAGCGCCGCCGGCGCCCTGGGGCCCGACTGCTCGCCCCTGCTGCGGATCACCCAGCGGCTGCGCATGGAGCCCTCCAAGCTGGAGGACGTCTCGCGACGGCTGAGCGCCATCAACCACCCGTCCTCCTCCTCCTCCTCCTCGACGGCTGGGCCACCGACTGGCTTCTGCATCATGATCGCCACCCAGGCGGCCTATCCCCTCAGTCTGCAGCCGGGGGGAGTGGGCAATGGAGCGGTGGGCAACAATGGAAACAACGCCGCAGCCAACGGTGGTGGTGGGGAAGGAGGTGATGGTAATGAAAATGGAGGTGGAGGGGAAGACAGCGCTGGAACGGGAGCAGGGGCAGCAGCAGCAGCAACTTCCACCGCCTTTCAGCAGCGACCCATTCGCAACCTGGTGGCCTACCTGAAGTCGAAGGAGGCCGCCGGGGTGGTGCTGCTCAAGCCGCCGCCCCCGGAGACGGTGACTGCTGAAGGCGAAAGTAATGGCGGTGGTGGCGGCGGCGGCGGTAAGGATCAGCCCAGCTGCACCCTCTACTTCTTTCCGCCCCACTTCTTCTCGGTGGAGGCGCTGCAGAAGATTGCCCCCCGCCTGAAGGACGACTGGGCGACCAAGGAGGACTACCTGGTGGCGGTGCTCACCAGAGATAACAGCAGCAGCAGCAGCAACAACAACTGAAGAGAGAGAGCACAACTCGGCCAGGCAGTGTCATTATGTGAGCGCGCGTTTCAGCGGTTTCAGTGAGTTCTCATCACCATCATCATCTTCACAGCAACTTCAACAACTTCATCATCATCAGCAGAATCAGCAGCAGCAGCAGCAGCAACTTCTTCAGCAGTTTCGACCGCCTGATGGGAATCCCTTGCATGAATTCTTCTTCTTCCACTTCTCCTTATGTGCTGTGAGTGTTGTTGTTGTTGATGATGTTTCAGTGCTGTTCCCTCCCCCTGTGCTCTCTCGGGCTGGCTCTTCTCTCTTCAAATCTCTTCAACGGGCTTCCAAGATTCATCAACGTCTCTTTTATCTTCTCTGCTCTAACTCTTCAGCACCTCTTCAGCATCTCCCGTCTTCAACTCGCAACCACAGCTCAGCTTTGCTTACCTCGCTCTTCAAGTGAAGTCTACTGCTGCCGCCGCTTTTTGGTGTTGTGGTTGTAGTTTTCTGTTGCCGTCGCCGAGATGTCTCCTCTCTGTCCTCTCTCTCTCTCTCTCTCTCTCACAATCACATCACATCGGTCTGAGTGCTGTGTGTGTGTGTGTGCAGTTCTATTTTATATATCGTCTCGCAGTTTTCAGTTTGGTTTAGCTTTGCTTTTCAAGGTTTTCACCCTCGATTATTTCAATCAGTTCTATCTCTTCCTTCCTTCCTTCCTTCACTCTCAATTTACAGCATCTTCTTTTGGCGTTTTACTAATTTTCCTTTTACCTTTTAGATTATTATTATATTCTTTCGTCTTCAGTTTGAGTTTCCCGATTTATGATTTATGATTTATGCTTCTTCTCTTATACGCACTTCTCAACCAATCGTCTCTATCACCACCACCGCCACTACGACCACCAATATAAGCAATCAAATGAGCACACATCTGTCAGCTTTCAGTTTTAATCTTTCGCCAACAGTTTTATATTATTGTCTAGTGTAGGAGAGTTGTGATGATGTTGGTGGTGGTGGTGGTGGTTTAATTATAACTTTTATATTTAGTGCTTAGCCTTGTATGTTTACCTTCAGTTTACATATTACCTTCTTATTTTTCTTTATCTTCTCTTACCGTCTCTCTCTCTCTCTCTATCATGTTTTCGCGCTTTTCTACCAGTAATGCTGCTGCTGTTTCTATGTTTGTGTTGCCCCCTGTTTATTATGTTCCAGCAGGCCCAGTGTGTCCCAGTTCTATTTCTGTGTCAGCAGCAGCAGCAGCAGCAAAAAATGCAGTACGAATGCCGAGAGCGTCTCAATGATTCTTCCCTACTTTTATTTTATGCTAATTATTCTCATTTCTAAATGCCGCATCTTATCTCAAATCTATAATATTATTTTACCACACCATTTCGCATCTACAGCTGAAAACACACTCACACACACATCCATATTTTGCGCTCCTTTCACATTTCACAAGTTTTAATCACTACTAATAAATAAGTTCTCTCCACAAAGCTGTGTTGAATGAGTGTTGCAAGAGTGGTTGCTCAAATTGTTCTGTTCATCACGTCACTCTCTGATGGTGATTCTAAGCTCTCTGTGAGTGCCAGTGTGTGTGCGTGTGTGCCTATCTTCTTCAGTTACCATCATTTTATCTCTTTCGTTACCTTTCATCACACAACAAATGTGTTTCGCCACTTTGCCAAGCTCGAAAGTTTCAGTTTTCAAGTTCTGATGATGCTGTGGAAGTCTCAGCTCGGTTGTTGCTCTGAAGATCGCCTGATCACCACTGCCACCAGTTCCTTTAACCCGTTCAAGTGGTGTGGGAGTGCCATGTTCTCTTCTTCTTCTTCGGTTTGATCATCAGCAGATTGTCCCATTTCACCATTTCCCTTCTTGCTGCTGCTGTTGTTGTTTTGTTTAGTTGTTATCCTTCTTTTTTCCTTTCTCACTCCTTTCCCATTTTTCTCATTGTGCGTGCGTGCGTGTGTGTGCATCATTCTCCAAATCCTTTGATCCTTCTCCTCCTGATCGACGTGCTGGTGCCATGTGATATCCCCTCACACTTCTTCTGGTGATGCTAGTGGTAGTTTTGGTGGTGATGGTGGTGGTGTTGGTGCTGCTTTCAGGTGCTTTAGGTGGTGCTGTGTTTGTGATTGTTGTTGTGCCTAACAGTTTTCTGTCTTTTCTGTTGCCGCACTTTTAGTGATTTATTTTTGTGTTTTAGGTAAAACAAATACAGGTAAGTATAGCTTCTCTCTGATGATCTCAAACTTTTGTTGACTCCTTTTTGTACAAAAACTGTGATATTTTCAAATAAAAATAAAGTTTTTATACAAACCAATAACTTAAACCGTGTCAATTCATTTCTTCTTTTTTTAGATTAAAACAAATAAATTCCTCTTTGCAGTCGGAGTTAGAGTTTGCTAATAAACATAATCTTAAAGGTTTGTTTTTGATGAGTTGAGAGTTATAGCCGAGCAATACAAAACCAGCACTTCAGTACCAATTTGGTACTACCAAATGGCAAATTGCAAACACCAAAAATCGAATTTTATCATGGGCGGAGACAAAAATAAATTTCGAGCAGATGTCATTTCGAGCACTTGTCTGGCTACTGTTTTGAAGAAAACAAGCACCCACATTCACACACCTTGACCTCATCACACACTTCTTCACCTCGCATCTTGGTACTTCATCTTTCCCTTGGACCATCACCCTTGAATCATCATCAGATCTTCCTTATCAGCTAGTCAGATTAACAATTCTAAAAGTAGCAGCAAGGTAACTGACTTTTCGGAACAAGGCGCACTGACAACAACAACAATCGAAGTTTTCCGAACTGTTTTGCCCTTTCTCCTCGCTGTTCTATTTAACCGACTGGTCATCGCTCGCTCTCATATCAGTTGACGTGTCTGCTCTCTGGTTCTGGTTCTTGAAAATTCTTGGAAATTGTTTGCTGGGAAACACCGCTTTTTGGTTCCCACCACCACCAGCACCGCCGTTTGGTGTGCATCACGTTGCTTGTGTAAGGTAGTCAGTGCGACAGTGCTGGTAAGTGCAAGTGCATCTCGCTTTCTTTTGGAGAAAGTCTGTGTGTGTTGTTGTGTTTCAGTGTTGTGTTATTCTTCAAGTTCAGACGCAAAGAACCAGAGAAGTCTCTAACTCTCTTTTTCTGTTTTACCCCCTTTTTTCGGTTCTATTTGGGACTTTTCCCTGTCCCTTTCTCATCCACTTCCTTCTGGTCTCACTCCTGTTCACACAAAACACCTCCTCTGGTTACTGTGACATGTGCACTTGATGGCCTCCCTCATCAATCGCTCCTTCTCACTCGTCTCCAATGGCTTCGGCGCCTCCTCCTCTCCAAAAGCGTTTGCCTCAGGCAGAATGAGCACCACTGCAACCGTCGACCAGGGCGGCGAATATAGCACCAGCGGCCCCGGCAGCAACAACAACAGCAACAACCCACTGCGAGTCTTCGTCTCCGCCAAGAAGGACATCAATGACCTCTTCATCAAGGTGGAGACCTTCGTGAAGAACGTCCACGAGTTCTACCGCTCCTACGGGGACGATGCGGGGTCGATCGTCTCCGGCGGGAAGCTGCAGCAGCTGGAGAGCGCCGTGGAGAAGGTGGCCGGCATTCGAGATGTCCTCTCGCGCAACCACATGAAGGTCGCCTTCTTCGGGCGGACCAGCAACGGCAAGAGCACGGTGATCAACGCCATTCTCCAGAATAAGATTCTGCCCGCCGGCATTGGCCACACCACCAACTGCTTCCTCCAGGTGGAGGGCACCGACGAGGAGGAGCCCTTCATCGAGGTGGGCGGGCACCGGCAGGCGATCGACTCGGTGAAGAACCTCGCCAATGCGCTGAACAATGAGAGCATGAGCAGCGACACGCTGGTGAAGATCTTCTGGCCGAAGAGCAAGTGCAGCATCCTCCACGACGACGTCGTCCTGGTGGACTCGCCCGGCACCGACGTCTCCGCCAACCTGGACAGCTGCATCGACCTCTACTGCCTCGATGCGGACGTCTTCGTGCTGGTGAGCAACTCCGAGTCGACGCTGATGCAGACGGAGAAGAACTTCTTCCTGAAGGTGAAGGAGAAGCTGTCGAAGCCGAACATCTTCATCCTCAACAACCGCTGGGACGCCAGCGCCCTGGAGACGGACAGCATGGAGCTGGTGCGGAAGCAGCACATGACCCGCGACACCGACTTTCTCGTCGACGAGCTGGCGGTGGTGGAGAAGGAGGCGGCGGAGGACCGGGTCTTCTTCGTCTCCGCCCGGGAGACGCTCTTCCGCCGGACGGCGCCGCTGGAGAACGGCGCCTCGCTGCCGAACCTCGCCAGCCTGGCGCAGGGCCACGAGACCCGTTACAGCGAGTTTGAGGACTTTGAGCACGCCTTTGAGCAGTGCCTCTCCCAGTCGGCGGTGAAGACGAAGTTCAGCGCCCACACCGCCGAGGTGAGTCGCCTGACGACGGGCCTGGCCGCCCTGCTCGAAGAGGTGGCCGCCGGGACGGCCCGCCTGCGGGCGGAGAAGCTGGCCACCATCAGGGCGCACCGCGAGACGGTGGCTCACATTCAGAAGGCCTTTCAGCTGCTGCACCAGGAGGTGAAGCAGGAGATCGTCAACCTGATGAAGGCGGTGGAGCACAAGGTCTGCACCGCCCTCAACGAGGAGATTCGCCGCCTGGCCGTCCTGGTGGCCGACTTTGAGCAGCCTTTCGCGGGCGATGCGCAGCCGCTCGCCCTGGCCGCCTACAAGAAGGAGCTGCACGGGCACGTGGAGGCGCGCTTCATTGCCAACCTGGAGCAGCGCTTCGCCAGCGCCGTCTCCTGCAATGTGGGCGCGACGCAGGCGAAGATGCTGGAGGGGGCGCGGCGGCTGCTGCCGCCGGGCACGCTGGAGCGCTACTCCCTCCTCGGCTACAGCATCGCCCCCCGGGAGGACTTTAAGGTGCACATTCACCTCAACTGCGAGTCGCTGTGCTCCGATTTCGTGGAGGACCTGCAGTTTCGCTTCAGCTACGGGCTGGTGCAGCTGCTGCAGTACCTCACCGGAGGAAAGGTGGGGGAGAATGGTGGAAATCGCAGTCTGATGGACAAGAGCTTCACCGAGGGAAAGGGAGTCCAGCTGCCCAGCAACTCGTCCATTAATGACTCGGGCAATGGAAGTGGCAGCAGTGGCGGTGGAAACAGAAGTGGTAATGGCAAGGCGATGGTCGTCCAGTTCGCCGCCTCCAACCTCGACCTGATTGACAAGCTCTCCAGCTCGCGAACTACTATTACCCTCCTCGCCGTGGGCGGCTGTCTGGTCCGTGTCATTGGCTGGCACGTCATCGCCATCACCAGCACCATCTACGGCCTGCTCTACGTCTACGAGCGCCTCAGCTGGACGACGCGGGCGAAGGAGACGGCCTTCAAGCGACAGTACGTCGCCCATGCCACCAAGAAGCTGCGTCTCATTGTCGACTACACCTCGGACAACTGCTCCGATCAGGTGAAGAAGTAAGTGGTAAAGTGATTGTTGTATTTTATTTGCTAATTTGTTTTTCTTTCCCTTTTTCCCCACCAGTGAGCTCACCTCCAGCTTCGTCCGCCTGAACCGCCTGGTGGACAATGTGATTGAGGGGCTGCGCAAGGAGGTGGTCGTCCTGGAGAAGGAGGTCGCCTTCCTCGACGAGCAGGAGAAGACGGTGGCGCTGTTGAGGGGCCAGGTGAAGGCCCTCACCGGAGAGCTGCAGGCCTTTACCGGCAAGTACCTCCTCTAAAAAGGAGGTGTGTAGACTTGAGAGGTAGTCTTCGCTGTAGAAGCTCTTTCTAGGCTAACCCTCTCTCTCTCTCTCTCTGTAGCGCCCAATTATTACTTGCAATTTTTTTTCAAGTGCTGCTTCTTCTTCCTCTTTCTTACTGCGCTCGCACACACAGCTGTCTTTCTTCGTCACTTCTTCGTCCCCACTGTACAGTAGTCCTCCATATTTTTCGTTGCACGATTCCCCGCCCTCTGTTGATATTATTATTATTATTGATGATGATGATCTACTACTAAAGAGGAAAGATGTTCCTAATTTCTAGAAAGTAATTAGATAAAAGTGTGATAAGGAATGAGATTTTATTACGGACATGTGTGTGTTGCTGAAGAATAAGGAAATGGATGTGTGTGCTTATGATAATGAAGAGAGGAGATTTTTAAGCGGTTTCTTTCTTCTACTGCGGCTCGCCCTTGGTCAGGTAGAGGACCTCGTTGTCGTCGGCAAAGACCAGCTGACTGGTGGCGGCGTCAATGTCCAGCGCCGTGATCGGATATGGATTGCTCTTGTCGACGATCGCCTCCACCGAGCAGAGCTCAAAGTCGTTGCCGATGTTCCAGCGAATCAGCTGCCCGTCGAGGGAGCCGGTGAAGAGGAGGTTGGGCGCCGTGGCCGAGTAGCGGATGGCGGTGATGGCGGCAGAGTGGGCGGCCGAGGGCGCCATCGGCCGCTGTCCGCCCTGGCGCAGGTCCCACAGGTAGAGCAGGCCGTGGTCGTTGCCGGCCGCCACGATGTGCGGCAGGTGGCTATTCCGCTGGACGGCGGTGATCACCGCAAAGTCGTTGGCCACCAGGAGGGAGGCCTTGTCCCCCGGTCCGCCGCGCTTGTCGAAGAGCTTCAGGTGCCCTGAGGTGGTGCCCACTATCACCTCATTGGGGGAGATCTTGTCGATGCAGTGCAGCGAGTTGGCGGTCATCCGCACTGATCGGGTCACCGCCGGCCTAGCGCCTGCTGCACTTGACTGCTGCAGGTCAATGTAGCGCAGCTGACCGTCCAGGCCGCAGGAGATCACCTCGTGGTAGTCGTTGACCAGGTGGCCGGTGCTGTGGTGGCCGGCCAGCGGTCCCTGTCCCTTCCGGCCGGTCAGCTCGCCCATCAGCTGGAAGTGGCCCTCCTCGCGGGAGAAGCGCAGCCAGAGGAGGTCGCCGTTGGTCAGCGAGACGACCACCGAGCGGCGGTCGTAGTTGACGATGTTCAGCACCGGCGCCGGCACCCAGTAGTCGGCGATGCCCTTCACCTTGAAGATGCCCGAGAGGTTGTTCGCTTCCAGGCCGTCCGAGGTGTCATTCGGCAGGTTGCTCCAGATGGAGAGGTAGTTCTTGCCGAAGCTGTTGTTAGTGCCGGTCATCCAGAAGCGCTCCTGCTGCTGCACGTCGGCCGTGGCCGCGGTCGTCCCGCCGCGACGGAGGTACTCGCCGTGCAGCCAGCGGACGCTGCTGATCTTGCTGCAGACGTACTCGATGTTCATGGTGGTGATAGTTTGATAATTGACAGCTTCAGAAATGTTGACAAGAACTCTGAAAAAGAACCGACAACGATTTCGTCATTCTCTAGCCTCTTTTTTTCCAAAACAAAAAAACACGCGCGGTGTTGTGGGCCGCTCGTGGTGGACGACTCCCGATCACATGTGTGATTTGCTGTGTGTGTGTGTTGCGCCTCGTGAACTCTGTTGTGTTGTGGTTTCTGGTGATCTTCTTCTTCGACATTTGTGGTGACCTTCAACCGGAAACACAGCTACCAGACAGTTGAAGATGATGATGCGGAAGCTTCTTCTGCTGCGAGGCGGTGTCGCTTCTGTTGCTCTGCCTCCTCCTCATCAGCGGCAGTACTTCTCAAAGCGGCTTCTATTTGGCTTCGGTCAGTCGTCCCGGGTTGCCGCCGCCGCCACCGGTGATCATTCGGAGCTTCAGCCACCATCACCTTCACCTTCAAATGTAAGCCTTATTATCGAGGNGTTTCTGGTGATCTTCTTCTTCGACATTTGTGGTGACCTTCAACCGGAAACACAGCTACCAGACAGTTGAAGATGATGATGCGGAAGCTTCTTCTGCTGCGAGGCGGTGTCGCTTCTGTCGCTCTGCCTCCTCCTCATCAGCGGCAGTACTTCTCCAA